TATATATAATATATATATAATAAATTATATATATTATATATAATATATATAATAATTATATATTATAGTATATATTATATATATATACTATATATATATATATGTCGTTACTATATATAACTAAATTATAACTATGTATATATATTATATAATAGTATATATAATTATATATAATATAATATATATGTATGTATGTATGTATATAATATATATATATATAATATTATATATAATACTATATATATATATATATATATATATTATATATATTTATATGTATACTATATAGTACATGTACTATAATATATATTATATATATTATATATATATTATATATAATATATATATATAATATATATATATATATATATATATATATATATAATATGTGTATATCTATATATGTGTGCATATATATAATATATATAATATATATATTATATATATATATATATATATAATATATATATATATATATATATATACATGTGTATATATATATATATAATATATATATATATATTTATATATTATATAATATTATATATAACAATACATACATTTATATTATATATAATATATATATATATATATATATAATCATATATACTATGATATACATGTATATTCATATACATGTATATATATATATACATTATATATATATTATATATACTATATATATATATATATAAGTCATATATATATTATATATACATACATATATATATATTATATATATAATATATATTACTATATATAATATATCATACTATATATATATATATATATATATATATATTATATATATATATACTATATATTACTATATATATATATATATAATATATATATTAATAATTATATATATATATATATTATATCATATAATATATATATACTACTATAATATATATATATTATGATTGAGGTATATGTATATATATTATAATGATCATACATATATATATACTATATAATATATATAATATTATATATATATATATATATATATATATATATACAATGTAGTGAGTGTGATATGTGAGTGAGTATATACTCATATCTATATATATATATAATGTACCAACCTATTCTACTACTATATACATATAATATGATTGGTAGTGAGATTGATGGTGGTATGTAACATATATATACACTCGGTATATATCATATATATATATATATAGTGATATTTAGATATATATATATTATATATATATATATATATATATTACATGTATAGTGATATAATACCTGATAGTAGTATATATATACTCATCTATATAAACTCAACACCTATTTAGTACCTAATCCTGCACTATAGATATACATGGCTAATTAATAATATACTATCAGTATATATATATAATATATATATACAACCCTATATATTAATAATATATATTATATAGTATAATATATATTATATATATACAGTATATATCATATATATACAATATATATACTATATACTACTATATAATATATATATAATTATAATATATATACATGTATATAATATATTACTAATAAATATAATATCATATATACATAGATATATATACATGTATATAGTATCATACTACTATATATAATACTATATATACTCATTCACTATATATATATTAATTACATGTATATATATATCCTATTATATATATATTATATATATATCAACTATAGATTTATATGATACAGTATATATAATATATATAACCTATATATATATATATATTATATATATATACACTCAGATATATATAGCTATAACTCTTACTATCACATGATACATAATACTATATGATATATATATATATATACTACTAACTATATAATATACTATAAAACCTATATATATAACATTACATTACATATAATACAAATATATATTAATATATATATCATAATATATATATATTAATATATACTATATTCTATAATTATTATATCTATACGTTATAATATATATTATATGAATCCTATATATATACTACTATATATAAAAATATATACATGTATATATCATACATATATACATGTAGTATACTTTACATCTAATATACATGACTACTATCATATACCAATACTACTATACATGTACAATATATATACATATATATACATGTATATATATACACATATATAAATTCTATATATATACTATACTACTACTCATATATATAATATATATATATACTATATATATAATATATATCTATACATAATACCTCTATAATACATAATATTATAATATATCTATTATAGTATATGTATGTATATATACTACATGTATATATATGTATATAATAGTACATGTATATATATATATCATATACTACTATAATATATATATATATAGTATATATAATACTACATATATATCATATATACACATATCTATATATACAGGATATAATATAATACACATGATATCTATATTATAAAATAACTATACTAATATATACTAATTTATATTAATATGATACATATATAT